ATCCATGAAATGTTCCAATTGCACAGTCACACTCGTACGAGCAAGTGCAGCATTGGGAGGCTGGACACGAATCCATGGGGCGGGTTTTCCGTGCGGCATGGATATGGAATGGGTTATGGGAGGGGATGGAACGACACTGCCCGGTGGGGGCTGTAAAATTGCTGTCTATATAATTGATTGGGTGTGCCTTTCGGATTTGCTCTTCCGCTTCGTTTTTCCTCACTTTTTTTATTTTTTCATTGTGTTTAAAGCACAACCCAGTGATTTGTAATTCCCATTTCAAATTACATGGCCGAAATGTGGCCAATTTAAATGTTGGCATAGTCAAATGAGGAAAATATACATATATTACAAGCTAAGGAGCTGAAATAAACTTTGAGCACAAAATATCTGTAAAACCTTGTCGTGAAGTTATGAAATATTTTATAAATAACATTTTATGTTCTGCTTCATAGTCCTAAAATAAAACTTTGATTTTTTATTGTGAACGGATAGACTTCATTTTTTCTTGGATGACAACAAGCACATCGTTACGTTTTGTCTATGAATGAATTTCAAATTATTTTTTTGGCTTACGTAATCCTCCGTAATCCCTAGCATCAATTTAACTATGCGTCTCACATATTTCGAAAATCTAAATATAGACAGAGCCAAGCGTTGACAGCCACGATTATCAATACACAATTTATTTAAGTGAAATATAAATGGAATCAAAATAATATGTAAATATGGACAAGTGGACAAGTGGAGAGGAAACAAAGCCAGACAGAAAACCCAATCGATGTTGGGCAAATGGGGAGTTGGGGGTTTTTGTAGTTGTCGCATTTCCGCCCTTTTCGACTTTCGACTACTGCCAAAAATGCATATGGCAAGGAAATGAAAGTGCTGGGCGGAGAATCGTAAGAGACTGCATACATATGCGAGTTTTGCGGCACACAAGACGTGTGGAAATTATGCGAGGCGCGTGTCAAGTGGCGCAAAACTGCAAGAAAACTTTTCGCCAAGTCGGTGGTTGCAATACCCCTGCTTAGTTGCTCCCCCCTCAAAAATCCTCATTTCTATACTCGTACACACACATATATACCGCCCATTTCATTACCATTCCGCAGCCCACTCAACGCTTGCAATTACATTGTGAATTAAATTGTAATGAGGCGCATGCGGCGAAATATGAAAATGAGACCGAATTGCCGGCGGAACCAAGTGAAACCGGAAAATGAGAGGGGGTTTTCTGCACGGAATTCCGACTTCGCGCACAAATGGCAATTAACAGTTATGTTTGCTGTTCTGACACGTTGCAGACAGTTTTAATGACGGCCAGAAGAACAGAACTATTTTTGGGCGACTTCGAGGAAAGGCCGCAGACACCCTCTGCAAAACGGAGACTTCAAACAGGAAGTAAAAGTTCTGGGGAGACTGTCTTTATACGGAAATGATTTTATTATCACTTTTAATCGTGTAACGTAATATTTATGATTATACATTACAGTCAGCATTGGATGTAAATCAACATACATGTTTTTGGGTTTCACAAATGCTAAGCGAAATTAATTAGCTCAATTAATTTCATTGAATTTATTTTTCCACCTATTATATTATTTAATATTCATTTATTATATTAATTATTTTTCACTTGTTTAGGTTTTAAGCCAAAATATAATTTTTAAATTATTATTGGGTAGCCTTTTTCTCGCAGTGCAGAAGCTGAGTAATGCAGTTTTTGCTCGCCTAATTGGCTGCCAACGGAAGTTCGTGTCATTTAAAGTCAATGATGACAACTCTGGTCAGTATCTGGATGTCTTAAACTTGTACAGGTTCAATTGAGCGGAAAATATCAATTTAACAGCCACAGCCAGATAGAGAAATACAAATTCCATTATGACACCTTCTCGAAAATTATTTTACAGCTTTGACATCAGAAAATATAAGATTTTGTTCCTAAGAAAATAGTGATTGCTCCGATATCTTTTTTATCTTAAGAAGACAAAATCGTGTCCTATTTACCAAGACGGTTCATTTGCATGCGATTTATAGTGTTCGTTTTATCCCCTTTTGCCAGAAATTGGCTTTGTGGCAATCAGGAAATCTGCGCACGTACCAAAATATAAGCAAAAGAAACATTTTGCAAAATGTCCACAAAATTTAGCGAAGAAAGAATGAGGGGCCAGAAGAATGCAGCGCGATAGTGCCCCAAAACGATCAGCATTAGCTGGCTCCCCTTGCCGCCCACTTGATATACGTAATTTTACCGCAAATGTTGCGCCCACTTTGGCGTAAAAGTTGTGGAAGAAGCGACAGCGGCAGCAAGAAGAAGAGTGCATTTAAATGACCGTTTTGTCGCAGCTCCTAATGACAACCACTTGCGGCTGTCAAATGCAACTCTGGCCACGCAGGGTTGTAATATTTTATGGTCCAAGTGGTCCAATGGTGGAGAAACAGCATGAGCAAGCGTTGCAAGAAAGGGTTGTTCGCTTTTTACTATACCCAGTAAATGCGGGTACGTTCTGGAGGTGAATGGACAAAAACGACCAAAGATTCTATTAAAAATTAGTATAATCACACATATGTATCATGTATTGCTTAAGAGGAATCTGCTGTAAATGCATTTTGGTTACCAGGTACTTGATAGTCGAGACGCTGGCAGTAGTGTATCCACTTTTTTTCGCTCCTTTGACCAACAATGGCATATGAATGCATTGCCCCACTCACACATTCACCCCACCCAACATCCTTGCTCATTTGGTCTGCGCCTCCGAGGGCGCATTCATAATTTCCCCATTAACCCTATTTTCCTGTTATGCACGAGTGCCCCAAACAGCGTAAAGAAGAAGAGATTGTCACCCAGCCACCCCATGGAAATAACGCTTTTCCGTGCCCACTCTCCTGCTCCCTGATGGATTTTAAATGAACTTTAACACGTGCAATGTCCCCTGACAGTACGAAATGAAGGGGACCAGAGCTAAGTAATTGGTTTAGCACTGCGCGAGTGGGATGGTCGAAGAGGACCGAACAGGTTCGCTTCACAGATTATCCTTGAGTTGATTTTACAGCTAAACTAATAACAAAAAATGTTCATTCCAGTTGGCAACAGCAGTTGGCGCAGAACGAAGACTTTCCTAATGAGATATTGAGCATGCAGAAATTGCAAATTGCATGGCATTCGTAAGAAGATGTTACTCAATCTTTAAAGTCTTGCAAACAGAGAATACCATCCGGTTAATAACTTTACCTATAATGTTCCTTAAAAGCGTACTAAGAAACCTATACATTACGAAGTTCAATTCCTGCAGCCAAACTTTACGAAGTTCCATTTCTGCAGGCAAACTCATTTCCTGATCCTGAAACGTACTGTTAGCTATGCTACTAAATGTTTACGAATTTTCCCAAATGTGATTTCCAATTCAAATTCACAGTTAAGAAAGCATTTCTAAAATCCATTCGGTTGAACAACTTCCTGGTATACAGGGAATCTTTTTCAACACCTAGTAGAACGACTTGCGACTCCATATCTCTGCTGCTGAAATTGTCTTCAAGAATGCAACATTTGCTTTGGCAGTCTGGTTTTTGCCCTCTCCTGTTCCCATTTTAGAGTGTGCCAAATGCACATTTAATAACGTAATTTCTGAAGCGTGCACAAGATATTTTTAGAATTTAGTTCTTCTGCGCCAAAACTCCAGCATCGCCTCGACTTTTTCTCCATCTGCTGCCGGCAACTTTTCTGCTTCATCTTGCACAAACAAAAAGCGGTGCAGAAATACATATGTAACCAGGGCTATGTACATTGTACGCCGTATAAATATACATGCATATACATACCACATAGGTATATGTACCATATATCTGTCTCCAACCTACGTGAGCACGATGAAGCAGTCGCCCAACTTTTCGGCCAAAAAAAAATAGTGGGTAAGGAACAAAATTTGCATATGCAACGTAACTCCTGACGACGATCATGACGGCAACGATGATGAGCACGACCATGATGGGCACGATGATGATGTCGCACATTGAGGACATACACAGGACACTAGAAATAGCTGCTGGCAACAGCTAACCAACCCAGCCAAGCCATTCCAACCCAGCCAACCCAGCCAACCCAGCCAAGCCATCAGCCCAACACCACCCGACGACTATCCCCACTCATTTCAGCACTGAAAGCTTCGCCACTTTTATGCAAATAATGTCTTCCAGGAATTTTTGTTATTTATAGTTAAGATAGCAAAACGTGTGGATGTCTGGATATATCTCAAAAGTGTGTGCATTAGTAGCTCCATGTCTCCTGCTCGCACACACGCCTTGTCCAAGTTATTGCTTCATTTCTTGAGCAAACTTCTTCACCTGCCAAAAGTGGATACTTTCGAAGGATGGCAAAAAGGTTTCCTGATGAGTTGCGAGTTAGGAGTGGAGCGTTGGGCGTTGGGCGTTGGACGAGTTTTTTGGATGTCAAACTTGAACGAAATATCAGCAACTATCTTCCGGTTTCCTGTCATTGCCATCACATGAAAGTCTGGCAGTCAAATTACATTTTGTAGCTCATAAAAATGTTGTCATTAAAGTTTTTGGCAGCTGACTTCGATTCGTTGCTTTCGTTGCTTATATTCCGACTCTGCATCTTTTATTGGTCATAATTCAAATTGGCATTTGCTTTTGTCTTAATTTGGTTACAATGATTGTGTCTCTGCACAGTGACATTGGAAATTCTCTTGAGTTTCTCTTTGACTGGCATTAAAACAAATGACAAATAAATTTGATTATGGGAGTGAAAAGGTTACAATAAATATGCACAGTTCTTTGTATTTCTTGAGCATATAAAATGTTATACGAAAATAAGCAAATATTGTGACAACGATTGTGACTAAATTAAACAAATTTCTAGCCCACAAAATTGAAACCCTATGGTGGACATTCTTTAAATTGATGTGTAACTTCCACCATTCAAATATCTATTGTCCAAAATAAACACATAAATAATTTTTGTAGTTCTTTGGAACTAAACTCACCTAATTCAACGTAGAGTTTTGGTCGTATATTCTCCTGCCAGGCACTTTGATTACCAATCACGAGGACTGTAAGTAGTAGGAAGACTTGCATCCAACCGTATCCGTAAAATTTGCTTAACTTATGTTTCATTATTGTTGCTTTTGCCGTTGCACCTTTCAAATGCATTTTGTGGCCTTTGTTATAGTTGTTGTTGCTGTTGCTGTGGCTGCCGCTGTTGTTATTGTGGCTTGTGTTGTGTGAATTTAACATTTCTATTTTGCATAAAATTTAGTTTGATTAAATTTGCAACATTTATTATTGTTGATTTTCTGTATGTGCCTAGCCTCTAACTTTATTGCAGTTAAATGGATTTGGCTTGGTTGTACGTGTACTAGAGTTATTGCAGCTGAATTTACTTTTTACTTTAAATTGATTTTAAATTATTTCAAAATACAAAATTGATACATTTTTTGTTCAACAACTTTTCATAACAGGGCTTAAATTGTCTCTGGGTTTGATGGGCGAACAAATGGGTTGAGGGTTGAAAGTTCAGTCATTTCTGTAACGAAAGAGAAAGTTGTAAGGTATTAGTTTGAGATGAATAATGAATGCACGGCACACTGGTCGTATGCGCAATTTTAAAGATTTTTACGTAACCATATGCGTTTGCCCAAGAAGACACTTTTTGAATAATTGAACCCAATATATATTGTCTTCCACCCCTTGTTTTAGCAATTTTTTCAATTTCGCATGCATACATTTTGTGCTCGATTTAATGTAGGTCTCGTTTACCCTCTGCGCTTAAATGGGCTTATTGTGCAATCGTGTGTGTGCACACTCGCACAAACAAACACCACACACACACACACGCACATGACCACGCCCTCTTTGGGGGAGTCGCAGAAATTGTATTCTTTTTCTCCGCCCCATGCAGATAATTTTAGCGACCTTAGCCCACAAATGGAAAACTGTAAGAAGTGGAAAACCAAAAATATAAAAAAATAAAAAAAATCAACAAAAAAATAAAATAAAGGAAGAAAGCAAGAACAAGGCGAGCAGAGGCGAAAAGAACTTGAAAGGCAGCAAGGAATGGGTGAAATGGGCAAAAGCGGACGAAGAAAGCCAGCAAAGAGTGGGCGAGAAGAGAAAAGGTGCCAAGTAGCGTGCACAGTTAATGAGTTTTTCAGCACATCCCATCGAAACCACCCCCCTGTAGGGAAATGCCCCTGCCCCAAGCAGAGAAATGCAGAGAAATTAAAATGTGGCACGAAAATGTACAAATCTAGCACACGAAGGGGTTGACAAGGCGCGGCGAACGGAGGCGGAATGGAGGCGGAATGGGGTTATTCGGTGTCATAAATCTGCCACAGGTGAACTTTGAGGTGGGTGTAGCTGGGTGGCTGGGTGGCTGGGTGGCCAGAGTGCAGCGCAATTTGTTTCTCCAAGTCATGTGCATCTGTGTTGGCTTCGTTCTAATTATGACGTCAACGGAGCGCCGAGGTGCCAAAAAGACGACGAAATACCCGCTAATTAAACTTAAGACCGGTTTATAGACTTGGTTGATAAAGTTTCTGTTCTGTGAAAACTGCAGCTCGATATTTTAATTAATACTATTAATATAGCATATTTAAGTAATGTTGTAATGTTTGTAATAAAACTATATATAAAAATATATTATATATTATTATTGCATGTATATAAAATACAGAATTTTAATTAGACGATGGACCAATTTTTCAACAAAAACAGCATATACCCTGCAGTGTCCAACGCTACCCCTTGCAGGAATGACCCAAAAACTAAGGCGGGGTGAAAGGGCAGCGGGTTACACACATACGAGTGGATATCCACTTTGCAGCTCCTGTGCCCTTTTGCTGTTGTAGCTGTGAACACTCTAGCGATTGTTAGTTTGGATAAAAAGCAGACAGACACACTTGCCGGCTTAGATGAGAATTTGTTTGAGGGCAGTATAAGTGGCCGTGTGTGTTTGCCAAGCACCTGTAAGTGCTCACGCAAAATTTAACTGAAAACGCTGTCACTGAACAGTAAGCCATAAACTATCGAGAGCAATCGATGGCTTTTTGATGAGCACATGATAAGGACACATGATATGCTGGGGCATAGGAAATCAGAAATCAAAATAAAAAAATAGTTGAATATTTTCTTATTTATAAAAAATAATTAAATTCGAAAAACATAGAAAACCTAACTTTAAAACCAATTAAAAACATTTAACAATGCTGATACGATTTCTGCATGGACAAAATATAATGGCACACTTGACCGAACCATTTTCATAAGTCAAAACCTAATTGTGTGTCCCATTTAGCTGCAAATGCAGCATTTCCAACACACGAGTTTCAATGTTTAGGAATAATTTAGAGCTAAGCATTCGGAAGCCATCTACTATTTCAACTCGTAACCCGTTTACAAAGTGCAAGCATAAAACATTTTTGGGAAAACCATCAAAAGAGACCCGCTTTGCCAGGCATATAAAATTATTTTTCATGCAGAGCCAGCCACAAGAACTGGCTAACGAAAAATGAGGCAGTGCCACGCCCACTGGGCGGGGGTTGACTGAGTTTTGGCGGCATTTTTAACTGCATTTTGCACTGTGCTCGCCGCACGGAAAACTGGAAAACTGAAAAACTGAATTTTCCGTTGTGCAAGGACTTAGGGGACTGGGGTCTGTAAATGGCTACCAAAAATTAAATGCCTCGAATCCCTGCAGACAGCACGAATATGTCAAGTGTGCGTGAGTGTGTGTGTGAGTGTGCGGGTGAGTGTGCGGATGAGTGTGTGTGTTTAAACAACAAATGTAGCGAATGGCTGGCAGTAAGAAAAACTGAATAGTCCAGATCCTGCGTCTGAGCCTGATGCATTGCGCATATTACTCAAAAATAATGCCTGCTCAAAAAATAAAAACAACAATAAATCCAAACGAATTTGGCTTTTGTGCAGTGCTGGCCAAAAAATACCCTGGCTGAAGTTGACTATTTATTTTTAAATCTTTTTTTAAAACATATAAAATTAATATTAAAACTTATTTATAAATTCTGGGAATGAAAAGCTAGCTAACTATTTACTTAAGACCAACTTCAAAAAAGCAAAAACTTGCATCAGCAATATAAAAAATTTCTAATTGATTTAGCACATTTAACCTATATTTTTAGACCTATTCTTAAAGAAAATATATTTTTATAAACTTATTCTAAAAGTCGAGCATACTTTAGTCCGCCAGTGTGTTATGGGTTCCTCGCGCGATTGTCAAGTATAAAAAGGCATCAGTTTGCAATTTCAGTTACCCCATTGCACCCACCCAACACACACTCAACACACACCACCCACTCACTTAACACTCATCAGGCGATGCAATTTGTTTTTTGCGGCCGCCATTTTGTTGCAGCCTTTTGCAAAATGGCCGCGCCGCCATTGCGAGCACAAGAGTTGAGAGCAAAAAATCAGCTCTTAATATACAAATAAATGCCGCAATTCGCGTTTTGTTTTCCATTTCAGTGTGTGTGTGTGTGTGTCTGTGTGAGCGTGGAAATGTGTTTTTTTATCGTTTGTCTGCCATGGAAAATATTTATGTTGCAAATCTTGTGCGGCCCGACGAGTTTTTCTTCATTTTCCGTTGTGCTTTATCGCTTTTTTTCCCTTTGGTTTCAACTCGTGACTTGTTTGTCTTGTCTGCATATCCTGCAGCGATTTGTTGTGTTTTCCCCGTTTTCGGCCTGCAATGGCTCCTCAGCTCCTTCAAATCCTTGTAAAAATGGGATTTGCCCTTGTTGTCGCGCAAAAGTTCTCATTTATTAGCCTTGCTTATGTCTGTGTCTGTTTGAAAATATATTTTACAATTTTTACCAGCTTCTAAGCGAGTGTGAGTGTGTGTATGTATGTATACATATAAGCCTGTTTGTGTCCTGGCACCAAGACAAACAGATTTATTCGCTTAGAAAACTTTGTATCCTTATCTCGGTCCATGTGTCTTTGTTTGTGTTTCGTGTTTTATGTTCATCTTCGAAGGGGTGTGGGAGTGGGTGTGTTTCGGCACTAGAGTAAATAATCATAATGGAATTTTTAAGGCTTATGACAATTTAACATGTTGCTCGCATGCGGGGTGTACAAACTTGTCTTCGTTCTGCCTCAAGCCTAACTGTGAATAATGGGATCCAATTCTAAATGAAATGAATTTACGGTTTTGAAAATTTAAAATTCATTTTGGAATGATATAGGATAGGGAGCACAGCAATTTGCAGCATTAATGTAAAAATGCTGTAAATAATAAAAAGTAAAACAAATCTTCTTTAAAATCGATGGGTTCTTGAGCTATTTAATGATGATTTGTGGCTTAAATATGGATCGATCCATTTTTATCGACTTTAACACACATGCAGTTTATAGTTCGTTGGTATTCCTCTAATTACAACTAAGCTCAGCAACGCGCTTAAATCATTGGTAAGTTTGCTCCTGCAAGTCGTGTCTATTAGCATTATCTTATCAAGATCCCAATCTCATCTGCTAATTTATCTGCTCTGCAGAATTCAAAGCTCATTTGAAGCAGGGAGTTTATTGTCCTGCGGAAGATGCTGGAGCTCAGTGCTTCGAGGGGATTTAATTCTTATTTCTTATGCCATGACACGTTCTCGGAATTTTTTTTTCGTCTTTGCTCGTGAGTCAGTGGCAACTTGTGCGGCAGGGCTGGGCTGTGGTTGTTGTGACTTATTTTTTAGTAAATACTAGTTAGCTAGTTGGTGCTGGTGCTGTGCTGACGCTGTTTTCCCTCGTAATTATTATTCGGATTCCGGACTCCGAGAGCCCCGGTCTCCAGTCTTTCTGGCAGCTGCTGCCCGAGTTCCGACAGGAGCTAATGCTTCCTTTTCCCTTTTTTTCTGGTGTTGGGTGGAGAGACTAGCCCAAAAAGCTTTCCTTACTTTTGCCGCATTCTGTTTGGCCTGGATTAGCATAATGCTATTTATTGTTGTACTTTTCTTGTTGCCAGCTCTCATTGTTGGCGCTCAGTTAATGTTGCCCCAGCAACTTGAATTTCATTCTTTTGTGGTTGCTCAAGTTTTCGCAGCTCGGAGCGTCCTTTCCTCCATTTCACATTTTTGGCAACACTTTGTGCATCCGAGTTTCCTTGTAGTATGCATTTTGCACACCGATGTACTTGCTTGTTTGTTTTCTCGCTTGTTATGGATAAGTTTGATGCTGATTCCTCTAGTCGATTCATTATTAATTTCGTTTTTGCAGCTCACACTTTGCAAACATG